TTTTTTTGTTAAGATTTTATGTAACGTTTTGGGTAAAATAGTATACAATTACGATTCTTGTAACACGATATTCGCACGATGTGGGTAATTATTAATTATTCATTATTAAAGAACATGAGGCGAATTGGATCTATGCGTTAAATGAAGCTATCCAAGCTAATGACAATAATGTGACTTGATTATCTTAGAAATCGGAAAAGTAAAAGAAAATTTTCGATTCGAATATTCTTCTTAACTCATTGTCGCCTTCGTCGTAAGTTTTCACGTACAAAGGCGAATGAGATTTTATTGAATTGTCCCATAACACATGGGATGCCGACGACACTTTAAACAAGAATTTAATTTTATTTATGGATTTATTTATAGTCGATAATCATACGGTTTTATGCACAGCCATACAGGACTGTGTGTGCATATACTTAGCATATACATATAATTGAATTTAGCAGATACATTAAGAGAAACGTGCTATTGTAGTCAATCAATACTAAGATAGTTTCAAGTTGTTCGTTTTTCCTCTTTTTCTTTTGCTTTTGCTTTTTTTCATTTTGTTTTTCTAACGTTGTTCTTGTTATTGTTGTTGTTGTTGTTGTTGTTGTTGTCTTGAATTGTAATTAAAACCATTGAAAATTTTCATCTTAGGATGCAAATTCTTGTGAGTATTCATTCCTCTTGTAGTTTTTGTTTTGTTTTTTTTTTGTTTTTAGTTTTGTTTTCTTTTAAATGGCATTTAAGTTTTAAAAGTAAATTAAAAAATAATTTAAAGAATTAATAAAGAAAATAAAATAAACAAAAACAAAAGGGTCATCCGTCATCATTATCAAAGTCAAGTCATCAGTTTGAAGTCATACGAATTAATAATTACAGCAAAACGATAAGTAAAAAAATCAATTGCTTCCATATCATTGTAAAAATAATAATAAGAGAACAATCCGTTTGAGAGGTGCAACTACTGTTACTCTATGCTTTGCTTTTTTGTTATTTGTCTCACTGATTTCTTTTTACTTTTTTTTTTCCATTTTATTTTTCTTTTTTTTGTTCTTTTTTTTTTTCATGATAACTTTTGTTAAAATAATCACTTGTTCTTTTATTTGTTTTCATCATTCCTTCGGGTCTCCGTCTCCTTTATTCTTTTCGAATAGCGAATTGTGTTGCATATGCGTACGTCAAGTCCAAGTAAATTTTATACAGCGCTTGCTTTAGGAAAATCCTGATTGGACACACTCAAGGCAATCTTCTTCGCTGAAGGGGCACCGCTGCCGCTGCCGCCGCCGCCGCTGCCACCGCCAACGGCGCCAACACCACCAACACCACCACCGTCTAGTAACTCAGTATTTAAATTAACCTAAAAAGATACAATTAATAGGGAGTAAGAAATGAAATGAAGCATGTAGAGGCATAGAAGAAGAATTTGCCAAGTTTTCATTTACCTCCATAATTTCGTCATCGTCTTTCACAATATTGACATTAGCTATTTCTGACTTTCGTTCCTCAATGCTGGTAGTTGTGGTGGTCGATTTAGAGCAATTAGCTGTTTCGCTTGAGGTGGTATTATCTGAATCGTCGGCCAATATATTAGGTACGTCTTTCTTTTTAGTTGACTGAGTTTGCGATTGTTGTTGTTCATCTTTTTTAATAGCATTGGCAGCATCATTTGATAAATTGGTACTAGTTGATGCACCGCTGGCACCGCTGTTCGATGAGCTTGAAGAAGGTACTGTTGCAGTGGACGCTTCCTTTTCTGCTTCATATTTCTTTAAAATCTGATCCAAATTGTAACGGCGACGATTATTCATAAAAAATGTACGAACGTTCGCTTCAGTTTTAGTACCAATTGTCTCAGCAATAGTCTAAAGTATATTATATGTTATTATATTTACTTCAAGGTCATTATAAATTGAATTGAATGCAAAAATTTACCTGAAAGTCTTTACCGTACTTTCGTACACCCTGAACGGCAAGCAATAGTTCATCGTTTGTCCAGCGCCCGTTAATGCGATTAGTATTCTCGCTAGGGCGTATATCCTCTAGATTATCAGAGTTCTTACGTTTAAGAGCCGAAATCTGTTGCTTATTTAGTTGAACCTAGAAACAACACACACACATGTACGCTTTTCTACGACATTAAAGCGATAAAATCTACATAAATCAACAGATTGCCAAAATATTTATATAGGCAGCAACAACAATCAATAAAAACTAATGTACGCAATGACTAAAAGGCCTGCGCTTCACTTCTTTCTTCCTTTTATTTATTTATTTATTTATTTATTAATTTTTGTTTTTGATTTTGCTTTTTAATATAACTAAAAAGTGCCTCAAGATGCGCGGAGCCCGCGATTTGCATTTACGACATGTATAACATCACTGAGCTTGATTTTAAAGTTAAATCAATCTTACGAATAACTTCGGAATGTTAATACCGCTTACCGACAAAAAGGGAAGATGTTTATAATGTCAGCGGATATGATGTAATAGTCAAAAGATATAGTTAACAAATACTATACTATATTATATCGCTTATTCCTCGTACAGAACCGTATGAAGCTATCACTCAATTTCATCCTTTATCAAATTTATATACTATTGTTACTCAAGCAAAAAATTTTTGCAAAACATTGTTTTACAATGTCTGTGTGGGGTGGGGGGACGGGGGGGGGGGGGGGGCCTTTGGGTAATACAAATCATTCCTTGCCGTTTTTAAAACATTATAAAAAATATTTAACAAAAAATTTTAATTGTTTCATGGGGGGGGGGGGGGGTTGTCTTTGGGTAATACTTCCACGCTGGCCGAAGACTGTTAACGCTGTTACTATAGGGCGATGTATGAGAGCAATATCGCAAGTACCTGTATTAGAGAAGGAAACGTACTCAGTATTCGGGCCGGCCTTCTCTTACTTAGATAACACTATAAATATACGATTTTACGGACTTACGGAAGACAAGAATTATTTATTAGTTATTATTATTTCAATCGGTAAAATATTGACGATCAATAAAGTATTGATAAAACAGAGTGAAGTGTACGCGCAAAGGGCAGTTCCGCCGCATTTGCAGCTTGTAACAAGAAGTGAGAATCTCTCTCTCTCTCTCTCTCTCTCTCTCTCTCTCAATCTCTTTCCCTTTATTTTGATGGAAACCCCTTAGTTATGTAATCATTTTGTCCGGCTTTACACATACTATGCATAGTCAATCCCGATCTCGTGCTATATTTACTTCATAGATTTTCATGATCTTCTACAATCGCAATAATCAAAATTTATGATTGGCTAATAAAAATTCACGATCATCATTCACTTTTTAATTTGTGAAATGAAGAATCTCCGGTGAAGTTGTTAGAAAGTGACCGATGCTTATATATAATTTCAATTCGATTTCTTTACCATCCTTAGTCGCATTTATTATTTCGATTAATTTCGAAAACAAAATTTAGATTAAAGTAACATTATAACGATATACACTTTAAAAGAAACCGTACGAACTATTCTCTTGAACACAGGAACTTATCCATGTATTGCTCTCGTAATGATTGAAACTATTTGTGAATAGCAAGCTTTTTAAAAAATTACTGCAATCTTTACTTCACATTCCCCTAAAAATCTCTTAATAATTGCCTAGCGTTATATGAAATATTTATGAACTGCTCGTTAACGACGATATGAGTATTGTTAGCATTAAAAAAGAAAACAAAGCATAATTAAAATGAAAGAAAAATGTATAAAATTAATTAACATAAAATTGTAACAAAAACATATAACATAAAAGAACTAAGGCGAAATAATTGCGATCAAGTTAAATGACAAATAAAAATACAATGAAAGAAGACGAAGAAAAAAAAAAAAAAAAAAAGATTTTGCAAAATAACGATTCTTACTTGGCTCAATAATGAGACAATTTCGCGATCGACATTTGCCAGCAATTCGTCTTGATTGTCATTAGCGCTGGCCAAAGCGACAATGTCATCATGATTGATGTACATGCCACGCGGCGGCTTACGTTTATGGCGTTCGGCGTTGCGGTCACGTGATCTTTTACCAAAATAAGGTCCCGAAGTGGGACGCTTATTGCCCGTCCGCCTAAATCGAAACGGAATTGGAAACCATGTTTGCATTTCAATGTAATATTATCAGTGTATCAATGACATATGTACATAAAAGAGAACAAAGACACACAAGAAATTAAAACACACAAAACAAAAAACTAATAAGAATCCGCTAAAATACCTCCAATGATGATGGCAACTGGAACACAATTTGCCATGTGGCGAAGAGTTCAGCACATTACAGACAACACCACAATTTGAGCAACAGCCCCCAGCACCGCCACTAGCGCCTACGGACGACGCTTTGACAGTACTGTTGGCGGTTATTGTTAAATTGCTTCCGCCAGTGCCATTGCAATTGATGACGGCATCAGCATTTGAAAGGCTTGGCGTATATTGTGGTTGCTGTTGTTGCTGTTGTCTATTGTTGTTGTTAGCGGTATTTGAATTCGCGCTATCAATATCTGGACCTTCACTTAAGGGAACATTCAATTCGGGAGGGAAGACTGAGATGCCTGTCAATTTTGAGGTAGTGGAAGTAGAGTTTGTCTGATCTTGTAAGGCGGCCATTAGGCACGGCGCCAACAATGTTTGATCCTAAAGTCATAAATGGTGCCAACATTGTCATTGGTCACATTCACGGAAAAGAAACAAAAGAGAGAAATGAGAAACAAAGTAGTAGTAGTAGTAGTAGTAGTAGTTTTAGCAACATATTCAACACATTTACAATTACAACAAAAGACTAATATCGCTTATCCATAAAATTAGTTTCGTTATTCCATGATTTCTTCTTTCGAGTTCGATCAAACAAAATTTATGCTTTCTTTTACTAAACGACAGACAACACCCGGCATTAAAAATGAAAGGGAAAAGAAAAAAAAAAATAAAAAAAAAAAAAACAAAAAACTTGGAATATATATTTATTCAATTCCCATATTGGCCAAGCCGCAACTTTATTTCGATTCTTTCTAATAATAATGTTGTTGTTGTTGTTATTATTATTATCGCTCTTGTTGTTGACAAGTAGAAACGTATTTTGCAAAATAAATTAAACTTATATGTTAAATGAACGAACATTAGACGCGACTTGTCGCTGGTGATAAATGGGATGAACGAAGTGCGAAAGAGAGAGAGAGAGAGAGAGAGAGAGAGAGCAAGTAGTAATTGGCACGTGTGCTTGTTGGAAAGATGTGAAAGCCGCCGTCAACCTTCTAGAGGAAAACAAGGGAAAGTATATGCAAATTTATTAAATTGAATTCTCGAGTTAATCACATGAAAACAACAATATTGCCCAAAGGGAAATGAATAAGATGAGAGACGACAATTTTTAATAAAGAAAAATAAAGCAAATAGTTTTTCAATCGACCAATATAATTTGATATATAATTTCATTGATTCGATATTAATACAGCAGATGACACAATCTTTGATACTCGAAGGATAAAAAAAAAAATAAAAAAATAAAAAAAAAGATAATTTATAAAAATTCAATTTTTTTGCGAAATCATTATCTTTTAAAATATTTAATTTAATTTTTAATTACTTTAAATCGTCATTGCCCTTCACTTCATAGGCTTTAAGATTTATGTAACTCTATTCCTCCGTCTCTACCCGAATATATCTCTTAAAATTAAAACATTAGAGTACATTTAAGTATGAGTAAATCCTTCCTCTGACTAACAAACATATTTGCAAATTGGATAGGTATTTCGAAGCTCGCGAAAAAACTGAATTTAGAATAGCATACAAATCTTGTTGGTTCAAATAATTTCCAAAGTATTTTAAACAGAATGATTATCGAAAATATTAATTTTTCTCATAAAGACCTAGAGAAAGCTTTAAATCATATACAACTGTCCAACTTTTTTTACACGATCTATTTTGCACGATTTTAAAATAACACGGTTTACTAATGTAAGAGAGTATATTTTTTTTTTGCATACATTTTTTGTTCTAGCACGAATCAAAACAAAAAATTATAATTCTAGTTTTGACTATGTCTCACAGAATCGTTATGTATGCGATAACAAACTACAATTGAGGGTAATAAGTCGTCCAGTGTTAGTGACATGAGTTGGGAAATTGATTTTTATTCCCAATTTCAAAATACTTTTTTTCATATTGTACTTATAGACTGAATTTTCACTGTATACTAATTTTGATTTTGATTTGTAATAAAAATGTTTTTTTTTTTTTTTTAAACTAGAATAAGGATTTCATTCTTTTGTTCATAATTTTTTTTGCACGGTTTTCTGGGAAAATATTTGGAGTTTTTGCTTTTTGTACGATTTTTTAAAATTGTGTTATCGGAAGTTGCTTATGTTTTTTACGCACGGATTTCTAAGAAACGCATCTACCGTGTGAAAAAAAAGAAAGAAGAGTTGGGTTGTATTAAAACTAAATGCCCGTCGACAAAAAAACCAGATTAGAAAAAATAGTTTTAATGTTTATTCTTAATATATAATATGGGTCATGGGTCATTAATTATTGATTTGATTAAAATCAGCGGCAGATAGTCTCGTTTACGTAATGCCCCTTTTTAAAATCTATTTTTACATATTCTGAAAAAAAAAAAAAACAATTATCCTTAGCCTATTATGAAGTGAAACAAAAAAAAAAAAAAAAAAACAAAAAAAAATTAAATTAAATTTTACGGACACTGTGCAATTTCACAATACATAACATAAATGCGTCAACGACTACATAATTGCGAATAAGCCGCCTTCCCTCTCACTTTTTTCTTCAAGAAATTATAGAGAATAATATGATTTATAATACAAAATAGATGAGAAAACTATATTATTAAGAAGGCGTGAATCTTGTATATCGATCGGCTGTTTCAAGCAAATATGTGTCACGTACTCCACTAACATTTGTTGCTCACTATGGCCCTAACTAATAATAAAATACCTTTCAGACTAGATTTTCTTTTATATTTATTTTTGAAGTTTAGTTTAGTGCGACTTTTTGGCCACGACTTTCATTTACAAAATTTAATGAAAAAGAAAAAAAAATAAAAAGAAAATATGCATCCGAAGATCCAAGTTTCCATTTCAATTATTGCAACGATCACGAATCTTCAGTCAAAAAGAAATTTATTTGCTTCCTAGTCTTTTAAAAATGGAATGATTAAATTATTAAACACCCATCCCTCTGAATTCCTATATCGTATAATATTATATCGCAATTTAACAACTACACTTGCACAACAATTTTCACTTGCTCATCGTGTTTTTATTGATAGTGTACGCAAGACGCACATGAGTATTCCATCCGATGAAATGTGATGTTAATCGTGAACTCTTAAATACAAGCTTCTATAGCGATGATGAATTGTTATATGACGAAATGAATGAGTAAATAATAATAATAATAATAGTAACAATGAGGACAAAATGGGGAGGAAAAAAAAAATATATATATATATTTATATATATATATATATATATATTTTGTAAAGAAACACATGAATTTTGTTTAATCTTCTCGTAGACAAAATATGTATATTATTTTTTGTTTATTTTTTTTTTTTTTTTTTGTTATTTCTTTTTAACAATCCATAAATATATATATATATATATATATATTTAAATATATTTTTTAAATCTTAATTGGAAAGCAATAAAAAAAAAAAAAAAAAAAAAAAAAGTAAGAATAATGAAACTATCTATAAACAGTCTTCTTCCTAAAATTAAGTATGCGCAAAGCTTTTAAAATTATTTATAAAACTATTTATATATACGTATATGATACATAGATGAGGGGTAAAAGTATGTGTAAGCATTTGTGTATTTAGATAAGTGCAGTAAAAGTAAATTATACAAAACTTTCGTATACATAATCCAATTACTCTATTACCTTGCTTTTTTTTTTCTCTTTTATTTATTTAGTTTTTTTTTTTTTTTAATTTTTTTTTTTCTTTTTTTTTTTTTATGCGATTTTACTATGCTTTACAGAATTTGTACAAATCGTTTTACACATATACCTTTTATAAATACAATGATAATATATTATATAAATACGTAGGAACGCTTCGTTAAAATACCGAAAAAAAACTATATATATTATGAGTGAAACAATGCGAGCTGCAGGGAAGAGATTTTATAAGAAGACCAATATACAACAGAAGAGAAAAGAAATAATTCATCTTAGAAGTAAGCAAAAAGTCTTGGTCTCGTCAAAAACAAATGGTGCCTAGTAACGCTTATTATATATGGTAAGAAAAATATATTTTCCTAATTGCAATCAAGTTGAGAGCATGGCTAATTTAAGTGAACCTTAGGTGATGGTGTCAGCCGTTATTTTTACCGATTTAACTGTGAGGTCACGTGTCTTACATTACAGAGAATTGACGAAAAAGAAAGCAAATCGCAATTAATTTGAAAAGAACTTCAAGGACAACTACAACTGACAACCAAATTATAACGAAATAAAGCCAACAGTAGTAGGCAAAAGAAACACAATGGGTGGACAGTTAACTTAGTTAAGAATGGATTAAATTTAACAGACGGATATCATTTTGTTAATGTTTTAAGAGTGCGAAGTTCTCAGCACTGTTTTCACTTCACTTTCATTTCATATGCGAGAGATATTTCAAAGAGATGTCCTCGATAGGGTCAGGTGCTATATTGATTGGCAATCTATCGAAAAATTATTGCTAGATTTATTTTCTAACTTTGATATAACCGATTATTCCAAGAAGAAGATATATGTAAGCAGAATCTCGGCTTTGCGTATCTCATTATACCCTACACCACTTGTGACACAAGTGTATTTTAAATTGGTACGAATGTATGTAAACGGCCAGAAGGACTTGAACTTGAGTCACCTTGTATTATACCAATTAATTCAGACTGACTTTTCGAATTGCGATCTACGCTTGTTCGTCCGTCTTTCTGTCTTATTGCCTTGTTTTCAATCGGACAGGCTGCGATTTTTAAAATATTTTGTTGAAACTTAATCATCTGATGTCTTTTGGCCCAAAGAGCGCTGTTGAAAAATGTGTCGATCGGATCACTTTTGCAACCGCTTCCCATACTTCCCATCGCTTGTTATGAAAAGTCGCTACATGAAAAACTGCATGGTGATGTAGGGTATTATTTAACGATGCGTCATGAAGCACTTTTTGTTTTTTTTTTTTTTTGCTTAGATGATTACAACGGCTAAAAATCTGCGTACAAACCTATCTCGTTACATGATTTAACAACTCAAATCGCTCAGGAGTAAATATATTTCAAAGGATCTACTTATATGATACACTTATTTACAGCTTTTATAAACGGAATAAAAAATATAAAAAATTTGTGTAAATGTATTATATAAAAAAAAATGCTTTTTTCTTTTTGTGTGTCAATTTGCAACGTATCAGTGTACGTTCCCGGTAACTTTCGCATACGATATATAAAGTCCATTTAAAAATGTATGTGTTAAGCTTCCGGTTCGATTGAGAATTTCAATAGAAGTTGAAGAGACAGACTTTGCTACCCAAAAAAAAAAAAAAAATAAAATATATATTCTTCTATCTTCTGTTTGTAACTAACAAGTAGTTTGAAAAGTTAAAAGTTTTCAGATTCATCTAAATAAATTATAAATTACAATACACTTAATTGCTAATTCTTTTTTAATAGAGTTTCTTTTGTTGTAAAAAAAAAAAAAACAAAAAATAAATAAATACATGTATAAATGGTGCTTTCATGAGGTAAAAATGATTCATTATAATAAAATTAATAGTCATTCGATTAACAATATTTGAACTTTTTAAAATTTTTCTATTTTTTTGAGAATATTTTAAGTAAAATCTTTTGCGGAAACCATCAAAAATGATGTTTTTGTGCGCCATATATATATATATTTTTTTTTTTCTTCAATGCACAAAATTTTTTTTTTTTTTTTTCAAGAAGTATAAGAGAATGCAGACATGACCTCGTTTTCATTGTGAAAATATAATTTAGACAAGCTTACAAAATTTTTAATTATATAAATAAAATAAATTGAACTTCCATCTATAAAGAGAAAGCAGGCATTATTGGATTCGATTCACAACCTATATAACTGTATGCTATTATTTACGCTTGTTATTTACAAAAGGTAAATTTCTATTAGAGCAATAATGATTTCATACATAAATAAGCCGAGTCAAGATGTTATGCTTGTCATATATAAATTTAGCTTACGGCAGCCTCCTCTTCAATTAAAGATCAGAATTTAAAAAAAAATGATGCAAAAAAAAGTCTCCTAATTTTTCCATTTGTTTTTTTTTTTTAAATGAATTATCGCGGCATATGTAGCACGTTCATACACATAAAACGGGGTGGTGCGTTTTTTTACTTCTTACGTAATTACATTAATAACTTATAATCATCTTAGAAAGCAAGTGTGAATGCATGTATTAATAAAGTACACCTGCACGTAAAGCAGAATTGAATTTCAAAAAAAAAATTTTTTTTTTTTTTTGTTTGAAAGAAAATAAATTAAAAAATAAGAGCATATACTTAAACTCATAAAAATAATTTGAAAACGACATTAAACGAACTAAAAATGACTGAAAAATATAAGTCGTTAGTGGAAGAAACCTAACAAATAGATAAAAATAATCCTATAACTAATATAATAAGGAACTAAGAGATTGACTGCATTTAATTCTAACTGATAATTACCTTATCATCATTGTCGGAATCTTCGTTGCTACCATTATCGCTGCCATTGTCTGAAGAGCCCTCTTTGCCGGCTTTGGTTTTCTCCTGGCGATCCATTACACTTTGACGATGTCTTGTCTTCTTCCATGAGTAGTAATATTTTACCAAACTGGCAATTGACTTGTCTGGTAACTGCATCAATTAACATAACATATATACTATTCATTATATGCGCATCTATATATATATCTAACAATTGATATGAAATTTACCATTTGTCGAATGCGATGAAAACTTTTGCCGTGAAATTGAAAAGCTTGCTCGAATAGTACTTTATCTTCCACAGTCCATTCATCGGGAAAAGGTGTAAAATTCGCCAAATCCATAACGGCCCGTTCAAGGTCGTGCTTATGCCAAAACAACATACCCAAAGCTTGCTCCCCATTATAACCGTATTTTTCTTTGGCAACTGATATATATTCTTCAACTATATGGAATTGAAACGAAATAAAATTGCATATTAATAACTAATAGCATACAATATAAATAACTTTCACAATTCGCTTTCATTCAATGAACGTTCCTTATTCGTTCCGCATTAATATCAAATAAAAAAAAAAAAAAAAAAACCAAATTAACAAGCGAGAAAATTTTATTCGTTTCGAAATCTGAGATCGTTTGTACGAGATCCCCTCAAATAATTCTCTGATAAATATTTGCATCAATTATAAAACTGATCTGCGCTATGTTTGGCATATGGAATATGGAAAATTCTTTTTGGTTTTTTCCTCTTTTCGTCTCGCAAACTTGTTTCTATTTAACATCATGCACGATGGGCATTTTTTTTTTATGAATCCCATAACTAACCCATGGATGTTAATCCATAAATGTATGAATTTTTATTTTGAAAATGTAATGAAATTGTACTCAGTCAGTGCACCAACAATGACAACTGAAGACAAATGACAAATGAAGAAATAAACTGTCAAAGATTCTAGTTGCGTTCGTCAACGATAGAATGGTTTTGGTAAAATTAGAATCAAAAATAAAAAAAAAATAAAAATATAAAAAAACTAGACAAACGTTGCTGCACAAAGCGATACGGGATTTTAAACATACAATGCAGATTTATAACGGCACGCATTTAAGGGTTAAGAGGAATCGAATGAAGAACATTTCCATGGAAGACTACAAATTTTCCATCTCAATACTATGCCATTAACAATTTTAACTATAGGCGACACACGTAGCCAATGCTACTGCACCGTATAAAAATATGGTGCTGTTTAAGGACTATATGTGTTTTTCATTGAATCTCTCAAAGGTATATCTACGTATTAGAACTGCGCAGACAGAGAGTCTAGATGTCTGAACACTTTGGAATCCTTTTCACCCTCGTTACGCTATCAGCATCCATTTACACCTACGATCCAATGAATTATTTTTACTTGTGAAACTCAGTTAAAAAAAGAATATAAATACATTTTAAATGTTCGCGTAACTCATGTTGAACACTTATAGCAACCGCGGACGTTCAACATTTACTTTTCTAATTGTTCTTTGAATAAAATATACCAACGACTTTGAAATCTTGAAGTTTGAGTAAAGTAAGCTCTCTGAGTAAGTAAGCTCTTGAGGATGACAAAGAGAATTGGAAATATGATGGACGGTCTATAAGTTGTTGTGTAAAAATCACTACAAAGCTGGAACATGATATCAAAAGCTAATATTAGCCAAATTGATTTCTTGCTCCGTGCCAATGGACGATTCGTTAAAAGGGTTACTACGACTACTACAAACAGCTTTATGCAAAGGACAGAACGAACATTTTTTAAATCGGTTCCAGTAATCGCCCAGTTATATGTTTTTCATACAGTGGTTATTGGTATTTAAGAGGAATTCTCCTTAATATCCTCTTAACCAGCGATTAATTAATCAGCAATCCAGTGGTAATGAAAATGCTTAAGTAAGCGATACAAATGCTACCAGTAGGTCAAGGATGAGTAAAATAGCACACCATCAAAGGCGAATATTTAGGACTTTGTTACGATTTGCTTTTTAGCTGAAATTTAGATCAGTATGTGTTTCGATTTGTAAGCTATTAACAATAAAATTTCGGGAATTTGTCTTTTTTCGAAAAAGGCGTGGTCTCCTAAGTACTAGTTAATGCGAATGCTTACGTTTCTTTTGTAACTTGGCCTGTAAAAAAAGAAATAACAAGTAGTACATAAGCCAAATTTAAACTTCTTACTTTAATTTTTATTTTTTATCTTGAGAATGCGATGCGAGATTAGTACATGTCCATGCTGCACTATTGCGTGTTACGAATTTAAAGACGAAGCAAAAAAGTTAATGATAAATCCAAAAGCTGAAGAAAAAAAATCTCCATTCCAGCTGATCCCAGATACCTTTAATCCATTCATTCGTTAATTATAAAAACATTACTAGACGAGATCGACTCTACGCCGTCTTGGGCAGGAAATCGAAGCAATTGCACATTTTCATACATCTGCCTTAGATTGTAATTTACTGACGAAAGCCGATTAAGGTTTTCAATTGCTTTCTGATATAACCAGACTTCTAGCGAACGTCCAGCAATAATGCGATGTGTATGTACCTCAAATCAATGTCTTGGAATTTTAGAATTCAATCGACGCAGTCGGCATGCAGAAGATTCGTAAACAATATTTGTTTCAGACGAATTATTTTATTCATATATAATCATTCTTTACTACAGAAAAATTCAAACCTACACTTGTTTGCTCGGTTTGAAATCGTATTTAGATGGAGATATGATACCTCTTCTAATATGAAAATGTTAATGAAAATTCATATAACCAATGTAAAGGTACCGAAATATTATAGATTCGCTTATTCTGCGGTTATCAGTTAATGAAGCCGCTTGAAAGGGCTAAGTCTATTTTTATACTGATTATGTCCATTTAATCAAATATTTGCATGGGCTAACAACTTATGTAGGGATGAACGGACATCGATTGTTTCGAGTTTGCGTTTAGAAATATGCGTATGTGGAGGTAGGTGACCGATTGAAGTCAAACGAAAAATAATTGACGAATATATGAAAGTTATTTTCCTTCTAAGAAACAATGCAAACAGATGTTCAGGAAAGCATATGTTTTCCTTTATTCTATGCAAATGCACAGTGAAGTTACAAATTACTCACGCTTTGTGTCAGGAATATCTTTAGTCGGCGACCAAACCAGTAGTGCACGATCATTCAAACATTCGGGTTTTCGTTCGTGCTCAGGTATAAGGGGCGGACAAACGGCCTGATAATCACGGCCCACCCGAATTTTTTCTAAAAACAAAATTGAACAAAAAACAAGATTATGCTTGAAATAGTTGCAAAATAATAAATATACATTTAATTACGCTTACCTTCATATTCGCTTTGCTTGGTCTTCGATTTACCATTTCTTTTAATAGCTGTTGACGTTGATTAAGAAAATGGATGAAATGAAAATAAAATGACATTGGAAAATAAAAATCGAAGAAATTCTTACAATTGTCATCATCAGAACTCGTTTCAGGTGTTCCAGCACCACCAGGGCCTCCGGCCGTGCCACTAGCACTGCCTGAGCTCGCACCGTGGCCGTTCGGACTCGGTCCACGCGAACGCCGTCCGTTTCGCACCAGCTCTGCATTTCGTTCCGCCAAAACCATCGCTAATTCGTTGATGGAACTTTTTATTTTTTTCTATTTGCGACAAGCAATGCAGTTTATAACTTAAATATTCACGTATTTAAATCCTCGCGGACTTCTAAAATGTAATCAATAGAGAACTTGTAATTCGTTGCCTATCTGCGGAGTATATCTATAAATGAATTAAAAAATATTTTAATTTTTATTTAATTTTTACTTTTAAAAAATCTAATAAATATAAACTATCTCTCACGCTTCTCTTAAGCAAATGCTTGTAAAACCCAAACTCTAATCTTAGTAAGCGGAAAATTTAACTACAACGAAAAAAGTCAAATCCATGCATACAAAGCTATTCAGCTAGTCTTGGTAACGCAGCAAGCCAAATTTGCTTAAATGGCACACAGCACACTTAATGCAAACAACCGTAGTTTTATAAAAAAATAACGTCGCATTGCCCATAGAATTTTAAAGCAACTATCTGATAATTGAAAATCATTTCAGAAATATATGTTCGTTCCACATTATATTTTAGAAAAAAAATAAAAAAAAATGTTTTCTTATTTATCAATAATTATTTCAAGCAAATTGTTAATATATATTTCTGGAGATTTTGCACATTTTTTTCTTTTCCATTAATCTTTTTTAGAATATACTTTTCCTGAATGTAAAAATAATACTTGGAAATATTTTAATTTAATTAAAAATTTTGCAAATTAAGAGTTTTCCGTTGTTAAGTCCTTTGAATTTTTCAAATTACTTAGATTAAATTCACGGGAGTTAACGAATAGAACGAACACAAACCGTTGTTTCTCACTTAACACTATAATTGTAATGAATGGGCAGGTAAAAATCCTTAGTGAATGTAGAGCTGTATGATTTTGCTTTTCTCTCTGACTATAATTTGCTGAATTCGAAAGCTGAGGACACTTTAATAAACAACCGTAGTTTGTCTTATTATATGAAATCTTTAATGACTACTTTAAACACAGTGCGGACACGACTGCATTATATTATTTAATATAATATCGATTTATATACTTACCTTCCCTTATAAAAACACTAATTTCATACTTATTATGATTTTATAAACTACAATTTTATTTTTCACTGTCGATTTGTTTCTGCTTGCACTGTTTGAGTTATGCTTATTGACACATTTTGAATTTACGATATCTGAACTATGGATGTGTTTAATGTACAAGTTGATAGTCACGTATTCAGCTCACTCCGTATGTTTCCACGAACTATCTCTAATATTCATTAAACAATAAATTTGCAGTACTTGGATGTGAATAAATACAAAATGTATATATATGATTTTATTTCAATTTAGATTATCTAATCTCTTCATTGTTATCATTTCACTTGAAAAAAAGTTCACATTTATTATAAATACCGTATGATGGGACATGTTTTTTTGTTGTTGACGTAAATTTTGACATTAACATTTAACGTTTTGAATGGAAGAACGAAATGTAAATATTGGGGAACACTGCTTTGCAGGAAGCGTTCTCATAACAAATAGGTCTCAATCGTTATATTACCATAAAAGGTGGTAATTAGTTAAAAGTCTTAAGTCCTCAACACATTGACTGCGTTCGCATTGCTGCATAAGTACAAAAAGCACATAATTAAATAGAACACATAGTTGACATTACTTTATGAGAGCTATATCATATGGTTTGAAAAATCAACCGCACAAGCGCAAAGCTTATAAAGCGAAAAATTGCTTTTATAACATTAGCTACTTTCTTGAAGCAAATTTTTCATATTGCAATGCCGACGGCAATTCGCATTTTGCAATGAATTTTAACAGATTACGTGAGTTATAAAGCTCTTTTAACAGATTACGTGAGTTATAAAGCTCTTTTAACAGATTACATGAGGCATAAAGTTCTTTTAACAGATTTCGTGAGATATAAAGCTGGCGGCTTTGCAAATTAAACGATAGTTGGGCACTCAACCATTTCAGAGCATTTTTGGCAATTTTTTTATTTATTATAAGCGACTCTGTGCTTTGTCTTTCAACAGGGAATTTAGCGAGGGCGTTGTTTAATTTGATAATAAAAAATTATGCCGGTCTAGGCTAACTTGTAAAATAAAATAAATTAAGAAATTTTATAATCGCGAATTTTATCTATTGCGCTGTTCATGTGAATAACCTTTTTCAAACATAGAAGTGTGCCTAAAGAATTTTCAAATTCAACTGGTACGAACTTAATTCAGCTGTTAATCTGAAAAAGACTTTGTAGAATCGAAAGTCAGTTTACGTTACAATTTAATATTTTGTTTACTAGCTTGTATCTAAAGGAATATCAAGTTTTGTAGCGTGGATTTTATTTTGTCGAAAATAGAGAAGTGGTTTCCCTGAATGCTCGTGTTGCTTCTTTTACTTACTTAGGTGCTGATAAGCCGAACAATCATTTATTTCAATATTTTCATGAATCTTAAATGATAATAAAATATAATATTATTTTTTATATTAATTATCGAAACAGTAAATATATTAATTTCCTTTCTGCGACAACTTTACGCCGGTCACATCCTTAAGTTGGTCACAATCTTTTGTGGGAAGAATGGATCGATACTTAGATTATATCTTACACATACACATGCAATAAATTTAACCAGAGAATAAATTCTTTTCTTTTAAAGCGCACTTGAGATTTGAAGCCACTCGGGCGGATAACTTGTAAAATTAAATAAGTTTAGTTGGCGTATTTTCCACAACACTATACATACATCTAGAGGAGATGATAGAAGAGCAAAAGCGATCAACTCAAGGAAGAAGAATCGGAAATAATCAGGAAACCATTAAAAAGAATAACAATTCCTTCTATAT